GTCTGTAGTGGACAACTGCAAAATTTTCAAGGAGGTACCAAGCCACAACATTCTGCATACTGGTGCATCCTGGTCCATTAGATAAGCTCCATCACCCTGACTGACAGCTTTCCAATACTCCTTATATGGCTCTTTCTTTAACCTGTAATAAACGATTTTAACTAATTTGTTAGGTTGGGCAGTGTGGGTACCTGTCCCAGGGGCGAGGGGCGAGCGCCGGGTGACGGGTGGAGCTGCCTGTCAGCACGCTGGCCCGGGGGTTCCTTGCTCGAAAGCGTGGCCGAGCCCCCGCGTCAGGTTTCCCTGGAGAAGGGAGGCGGTCCGCGGTGGCTGGAGGCACTCGAGGACACGTTCACGCAGGTGACCTTTCTGCCAGGAGACGCGGTGCCCGGGTGGGCCTGGCAAAGAGAGCGTTCTGAAGATCCCGGTACAAAGGTATTCCTTGCCCTCGGCTGGATGAGGCTTTGGGGAAACGTGCCAGAAAGACGTACACGGGCATCTCCGGATGAGGGGCTGCTGGGGAATGGGGTTTCTCACTAGGAAGAAGAATCCTTTTAGCTTTCATAGTATGTTGCATGTTAAAATAATCGCCTGTAGGCAACCATAGCTTGCTTTATGTAACAAGCAGGATTAAAAAAAAAAAAAAAGGCGATCGTGTACGGAAAAGCAAATAAACCGCACCCTATTTGCTTATTCAAATGTCTGCTAGAGCCAGAGTTAATAGATTGTGTCTCAGAAACAGTTCCTTAAAGAATGCACACCAATGAAACTCAGGCTTTAACGTAAATGTATACTTTCTGTACATACCTGTGTGGGATGTATTGTTACAACACTGAAAATCCAAACTATTTGAATAATTAACTGTAGCGAAGGGAAAAAAAATATTTTTGCAAGCACTTACTTTCTAAGGTAACTCTAGTAATGCAGCGATTGACTATATAAAGACTTCACAGTGGGTTTAGAAGCTAGTTTATCATTGTCTGTGTTGAGACTTAACAGTTCTTGAGAAACTCTTCTCAAATGGAAACTGTAGTACAGATCTTTCCTTTGTATTTTTACTAGAAAGAGCCAGTATCTTACACACATGAAAACGTGAATTCGGAGCACTTTCGAAATAGGTGGACCTTAGGATATCTCACTTAGCAACCTCCTCTACAAGATAAAGTGTATCTACTCCATCCTTGGCAGATGTTTGTTTAAATCCTCATGGAAACATCTATAAAAGACGCCACAGTTTTCCTTGGTAGCCTCCTACAACACTTCCCTATTGTGGCTAAGGAGCATTCTCTGTTTACTAGGGCAGTGTAACACATCATCTATGCTAGCTGTGGAACCTGAAGCTTCTGTGTATTTTCAGTGGTTGGACAAGGAAGTGTAGAGTACGTTCTGTACACACTTGAGCTTGTACTAAGTCTCTTAACTACATTTCCTTGGATCACAAAGTACCAAAGTGTCAATCTGTGCAGCTCCTTAATTTAGAAGAGGCAATGTGTTCATTCAAACACCTGTGAAAAGCCCATGAAATTAAATCAAATCACTTCTAGACTGTTTTTTTTACTAGGTTTCAGTGTTTGGTCCCGTACAAAATAAAACTAACCTGTTAGGGTTTTGTTAGAATAAAATCAGAATACAGACTAACAGCAGAAAAAAAGGGAACTCATTCCTTCTAACAAAACTGACCTATGTATTCAGAATTGTTTTATGACTGACAAGAAAAGCAGTGCAGGAGAAAAATAACTTATGCTCTTTGAATTTCAAGGTCACACTGCAAGAATTACCGAACTATCCAGTTGAAAACACTGATATGTTATGAAGATACTTATTAGTTCTTTTTCACATTCTTGTATCTATCAAAATATCTTCTGCCTTTTAACTGAATTACTATGTTATGCTTTCTTTACCATAATATTAAATTACATAAGATTTCAAAACAAAGATATTATAGAAGTACTTTAGAATGTGCAATGAACCAAATAGATTAATGTAAAAAAAAGAAATATTAAGGAATTTTTAACAGTTATAGGTAAGTAAAATACTGCATGTATGTAAAATCAAGACTTATGAACTATAAGACCTTTTATTTTCATACCTTTTAAGTCTGTGACTATGAGAATTATTATTCAGTAATAATGTAAGATCAAAGGTCCTCAATTTAAACATTTAATATAAAACTGCAAGGGAAGCTAACTCTGCAATTATCTTAAACAATTATGTGATTAAATATTTTAAGGAGCAAGATAATTGATGTTAGATAAATCTGATACCCAATATCTTCTTGGTAGCAGAATCCCAGTCTTTTCCAAGTTCAAGTTGATAGCAAATAGATGGAAATTGCCTCTCAACTTTTCTTACCCACTCTATTGCTTTCCTGGTCAACCCAAAAGCCCAGTGGCTAACACTGTGTGTAGAAATGAAGTTTTATTATAATAAAATCTTGTAAATCCACCAAAAGAGCAAGAAGAAAATAATTTATTCTGACAATTATTCGAAAGAGAAAATTTTCCATAGTACGATGCTAGAGCCTGTGTAAAATATCATGATGCAGAAAACATTATCATCTGTTCCACCCTATCTTTTTAGAATCTTCCACATGGGAAGTATGTAGACTTATAATTATTACTTGCATTTATTTGCACTATTCCAATCACTGCAGTGAAGTACTGTGCATTTCATACAGGCAAACTTGACTTCTCCTTTGTACATTCACATATGTTAGAATTGCTTTGATCTGGCAGTCAGTGCATCTTTATTGTATTCCTGATGAGAGTAGTCAAAATTATACAACCAATTTTTCCCTTTGTATAAGGAGTTTCAAAAGAGGGAGGAAGATTTCCAGGGCTCTCCTGACTGCTTCTTTATCCTGTTCCTACATGCCCTGTAAAGTATGAAGTATGTAAAGCTTCCTGTTTTGGCACAAGGAATCCACTGGTGCCTGGGGCAGTCTAGATTCACTGAAGGCCTATTCCTTCATGCTTCTTTTAAGACCTTTCCTCTATACCAAAAAACTTGTCAGCAGATAATTCTTAACTTCACCGCCAAAGAAATTTTCCAGATGCAGAGCAGTGGGACATACAGAAGGGAGGGGTTCAGGGTTCAGAACAAGCCAGCACCAGCATTCCCCACAGCGAAAGGAAAGGGCAGAAGTTGTGCTGTGAAGAATCATCTGCTCTAATAATTTCAAGAGTTTTGTCCAGAATATTTTATAGCGTATGCTTGTGAAGAACACCAAGCCATAAATGTAATTCTAAAAATCGGTGTAGGCCAACAGGCACAAGTTACGTGAAGGAAAAGTCCAACAGAACAGGGCCAACAGTTGGCCCTGCTTTAAGGAAGAGATAACCTCCAGAGGTATCTTAAATTATTCAATGATTCTAATAAGGATAAAATATATTTTACTACTTTCTATAATTCTCATTTTTTGTATCATACTTTGCAAAGTATTCCTTCTTGCATCCATCTTCTTAAAAGAAACCATGTGCTAGCAGTATGATTAATACCTTCCATTCCCTTTTCTACAGCCATATCCTGTAGTATAGTCATTGACTCTCCATAATGAAATTAATCTTCTGTATGTTGAGGCTTATATTACTACATTGAATGATAAGATTTTATTTAAAAACACACCTTGAATTAGATGAATCACAGTTTCATCAGTGTTTTGAAAACTATCAATTCCTTTGTGCAGCATATGAACTGAGCACAAGAAGAGCAGCACATCAACTGCAGTAGCTTTTTTTTTTCGATTTGGGCCTAAGAAAGGGAAGTGGTACTACTACGTAAATGATTTATTGACAACAGAAAAGGTACTTTCTGCAACATACTCAGTATCACTTTAAAACATCAGTTGTCCTAATGCCATTTAATTGTGCTAAAATATTAGGCTAAAATATTAAGTAATAAAAATATAAGGCTAAAATATTAAGTGCAGTGATATAGAAAAAAATTAAGATCATGGTCTCATTAAGTTTCGTGTCTTGAGAATTTGTCTATAATCCTTAGTAACAGAAATGTTTCTGAAACAAAAGGAAGTATTTAGTGAAGAAAGGTATTCCCCTATCTAAAGATAAAGCCAGAATAGAATGAAAAGTGAAATTAAACTAGTTTCTTGATAATGCAATTTACCATCAAATATTCCATACAAATAGAAAAACATCAAATTTAAATGTTATAATCATTTAAGGCATTGATAAAATAAAGCAGATAACATTACTAATGAAAGCAATTTACTTTTTCTGTGGTTTGGTTTTACTTGTTTAACAGAAGCCTTTTTTATTGTATCCTACAAAGAAAAAAAAAAAATTTAAGTGCACCACTTACGAAATATTTGTATGTCATTCCTGACACTTTTATTGCCTCGGAACTCCATTCTCTTGTATCACTAAGCTGGGAATGCATGGAACCCTCTTCATTTAATCACATAGCTTTGTTATCTGAGCATCACAGCAGCTAAAATTTCAATGAACTTGGGCATGTTTCTCTCCCAAGGACACAGTGAACTTCAGAACTCAGTATAACAGAGCTCTGAAGTAGAAGGCATACTTGTTGACCAGTCAGACCTATGATACAGTGATACTGTCTCAGAGGGACTAGAATCCTCATGGACCATCTCTGGCTCTTTGCCAGCATTTAAACGGAGAGATGACCTCCCCTCCCACCTGGAGAATTCCAGAGCCATCACGAACATCCAAAGAAACGGATGAGCAACCTTGTCCCTGAAGCAGAGAAAGATAATAGCAGAGTGTTCAGCAGATGCTCAGCTGCTGCTTCATGATGGAGGCAATACAGTGTCTTTGCAAGCCAAAGGAAGAACAGCAGCACAGAAACAGCAGCTATCTCAAAATATGAAACCTAATATGTGCCAACTCAAGTTAACTTTCTAAGTCCTGCAGGAGCAAATATATCCCAAGATAGAGGCTTCCTATCAATCACAGCATTCCTAAGTTTGTGTTCATGTTGCTTTATGACAAGAATGGTTACAATTATCTTCTAACAAAACACAATTGTAAACTTACTGAAGTGTAATCACAGTCCTGAAACAAAGAAATTGACTCAACTGTAAAGCTTTTTTTACTGTTAAGCACGTATTCTTAGCAGCGCTGGGGTCACCCTGGACATTCTTCACCATAAGGGCTCCCATGAACTAGCAAGGGACATCAGTTTATAAACACAAATCGTACGTATTCATTAGATTTCCTGGAAAGGGGTGTCTTATGATGATGGGTTCCTGGAATTCATTTGCACGGTCTGAGCATGCATAGTAAAAATAGAGCGAGGATCTTCGTAGTCTTCTTCACAGTGTTCGCTAGTTGACCTTCTTACCAGAGCATGTGCTTGTGAAATCCAGGTGCCTTCTTCCTAAATCAGCAAAATCCTCCTCCCTAGATAGGATCTCTGTGTCCTTTTGTTCGAGTCCGCCTTATCTTAGTTTGCTCATTCTAGGAGTTGCGCAAGTGTCCATTGAAGGCTTTGAGTCTGCTATCAGTGATTTACATAGGTAGC